TCAACCACCAAATTCGATCCCTTCCGATTAGCACTTTTTTGCATTAATGGTCTGAGCAGCGTTTCACTTATTACGCAAATTGATTCGATGAATGATTTACCTTAAAACGGCAACGGTTTCTTTAGCCGGGCATTCGCAAATCGTCATGCAAGTGAGATAAATGCATAGCTAGCGATGCGTAATCTTTCCAATAATATATTTTTTTATCGTTTTCATACAAAACCTGCACCTGTACATACCTAGTAGTTCGTAGTAACTTCATAGATAATCTCATAACGTAAGCTTAATGAACCCAATCACACTTTTATATCCACCATAAGGTATGCTTGCCCTGATAACATTCAAAAGTACGCAGAAAGATCCCATAAGATAATATATATGGTCTTCAACAGCGTAACATTATGAATCGATTTAGCCCCTATCTATCTATTCGAATCTTGGCTCTCTATCTCCTATTGTCAAAACACTGACAGTCGGATAAAATTAGAATAGAATGTTGAAGCTGGTTAGATCGACTCTTGCCATTTCATCAACAAAATAATCAAACAAAGTGTAACTGCAGGTAATAAATTAAAGTTTGCAGTAAATATTTCCAAGGTCTCTTTCAATTTTCAATGACCTGCGGTTTGCCTACGAACATGCTCACAACGTACACACATCTTGAGCACACGGTTGATAAGTTGTGCTACAAGTATTTTTTAGATCTACACCTAAAAAGTTTCACTAGAAAAAAATTCTAATTGGCCATCTGTCACGCCCACAATTAACATAGCCTTCAAATATTTATTCAAGATAGTCAATGTTAAGAATTCGTTCGGAAGCGATTATAAATTTTTTTTAAACTGTAGACTTTACTTAATCTCATTGCAAGTTCTTTGACTGTGCACAACGTTGTGTAAAGAACATCTTCTATGCAGCGCTTCCATAGATCGCTAAAATTGCATCAATTTTCTTAGCTTTCATTTGATTTAAGATTAAAAATTTCAAGTTATATAAGAACATTTTCGATGAGCGAAATCTGTTCTATAATCTCTCTCCAAATTCTTTTCTCCGTTAGTCAATTAACTTAAAACTTTAAATCATAGTAATATTCTGGAGAGTTGTAATGATGGAAGCGACTTTGTTCAACTAAAATTCTGCAGGACATGTTCGTTAAGCACAAAACGTCTATTAAAATATTTAGATCGATATTTTTTATTTCGTTAGCGGCCATGTCCTACAACTACTGTTCGATATCGAATCGATTTCGTTAATCACTTTCCGTTATAATTTTAGAAAAACTTCAATTATTGAAGAAAATTTTTAAGCCAATTTTTCACTTGACGCAGAGATTTTCGTGTTTTCGTTGTAAGAAACGCTTCAAAGATTTGGTAATTTGATAAATTAATTTTAATTATCCATCGATGAAAAGGATAGAATAATGCGGAGCATCAATGTGTACGATGATGATTTTGATAATATTTTCGATAATTTTCACTTTCATCTATCTATGTAAAATAACAAGTTTCCATTTAATATAATTGAGTTGTTGAGGGCATACAGACGCTTAATTATGGAAAAAGTCCAAAATTCCGTTTTAAACATTCGTTATTTTTGTTGTTGTTTGATTTGATGAAATCTATTGCCGAACCCCATTATCCTAATTGTCAGTTTTCGTTTCAACGGTTTAAACGGTGATGTCAATGCTTGATGTCAATGACAAAGAATGACTTGAAGGAACAAAAAGCTTCGAAGACAATGAATTGCAGGACTTATTGGACGAAACGTGACGAAATTCAATTTTTCAAAAACTTTCGAAAAGCTTAGCATTGGATGAACTGTTGTGGCAACTGTTTGTTGTCGTTTACATACCAAGGGAAAATGGCTACCATGCGAATTGATTCAATATGACATTTCAAATTGTGTTCAAATCGCGCCAAGCAAAAGAATAAGACAGGACAACTAATTATATCGACACCGCAACGGATGTCTGAACACAGTCAACAATGTATTGCTGCAAAAGAGACCAACAATAGCGATTAATAGACGGAAAGTTATCCTTTTGCCTGGCAATGCTCGCCTACACGTTGCACCCGCCACGCCTTCTGATTATTATGATACAGCGTGGCTTAGCTGGCACGCGATTTCGAAACGCTGAAGAAGTGCGAAAATGGATGAATAATTGTCTCACTGCCAAACCAATGTCGCTCTTTCGACACGATGTCGTCATGTTGCGAGCGAGATGTGGAAAAAATTGTAGAAAATGATGGAAAATATTAATATTGATTAATATATATTGTAGCATTTTTTTTCTCAATAAATGCCTTTTCAAAGTGGAAAAATGATCAAAATACATGGAAGTATGATTGGTAATGATTTAGAAATAATGCGATAGTAAAACATTGCACTTTAGAAAAATTCCAATTCTTTCGTTTATTCAGGTAATGAAATGTTTCCACATTAAAGTACATAACGGATGATAGAGCATTTTTTCCCCATTTTGTAAACATTTTATGAATTGCCAAAGACATTGCATGAATGAATGAATGGTAAGACAGACGACTTGCCATAACGTATATAAGTAATTTAAATAAAAAAATCAAAATTAAGAAAAAAAACGGAACTTGATAATTATAAATATGTATATATATATATATATATATATATATGTGAAAAAAAAAAACTGACTAAAACTAATGACAAAAGTGTGAATAAAAAAATCGCAACATATCCATAAGAAAATTATTTAGCTTCAACCAAGTTTATTGCATTAATACGTGCGCATGCATTTACGAGGGTAACTCAATAAGGTACTTGCAGGGACAAATTTTCGAATGTATACTGCAAAACACATTGTCCTGCGGACCTTGTTTGGGCAAAGATTTTTAACAATTTCCACAATGATTGACTTAATAACAAATCAAATGAACATACGTTGGTCTCCGGTATTCAAACCCCATACATAAATATTGCACATCGTTGCCCTAATAAGTTTGTCTCTTGTCAAATTTAAAAATTCTTAGCTATCAGAAGAAATCTTTGCAAATCGCAAAATAAAATTTCTCATTAAACATGGATTGCATGAAGAAGATTTTCCAGAAACTACTTTACAGCGTCCCCCTATCGAATTACTTTGAAAAAATGAATATTTGTCGGATATGTCGCAACAGTCATTCATGCATATAGAACTGTTCTTATTTGTCAGACACGCGACACCGAATCATTACTCCTCACGATAAGACGAATTCCCAACTGCCAACAAAATTTAGTAACCCTTTTGAGTGTTTTGAGTGTAAGATATCGAAATATGGCCCAAGCAGTTCATTTTCTATCGATATACCGAAATGTGAAAAAAATGATAGTCGAGGCACTTCGATGCCAAAAAAGACAATTCACAGCGAGAAGGTTAATATCAAATGACTTTTAGAAAAAAAGTGCTTCAAAATAGCTTTCACCGTAAACAAAAATGTATCGACAATTAAGCGCAATACCTAAAAAAAAAAAAAAAAAAAAAACTAAGAAAATTATAATCGGTCGTGACCGGATCTTTTATACCCATCACCGTTATCCTAAAAAAGGCAAAAGAAGCAAAAGAACTACATTTTTATGGTAGAGAGCATATTATAAAATATGGAGTGGGCGCGGCTGATTTTATTCATTTTCAATACCAATCAATTCCAATGTTTCTCCTAAATTTGAAATCGATAGCCTCACTTTTGCCGCTAGGAGAATGGTTACAACAGGCATTGCACACGCGGAAATGCTTAAATCGATCCAGAATGTAATGCTAATCACGAATATATACACTTTGAGGGGGCCTTCGAAGGTTTCTTCTGCCTGTTGCAAACGTTTTGAAGGATTGAATATACCTCTCTTCCTTCGTTGATGGATATAAAAACAAGTAACAATAGTATAGTCGTAGAAGGTCGACCATTAGATATCCTACACCACTTCGTCTAATGCGATCATTAACTCATTTTCTTAATAATGCACGAAAAATTATACATGATTTTTAAGCATATTATAATTTTGATTGTCCGCATATTGGAGGAGAGCCAAAACGTCAACTAATGTGGACCGTATTGAGCAAACCTAGTTAGCTTATCAAAGATTTTATTTTCCAGTTGCTTACGTTATAACCAACCACAAATTGGACACTCTCTAGAGGGGTTTGCTTATATGAAAGCCCCTACGTAAGGCGTGATGCAAATATTAGACCTATGCGATCCAAATTCCATATTTTCAATGTCATCATCAAATATTGAAAATTGGATGTTTTTCCCATATAAAGCTTAATTTTTCATTAGTACCCTTAGAGGGGTTGGTATCGAAAAAATAGACCTGCATGATCTAAATTCCATCAAATTAATTTTTATGTCAAGGTAGTATTATGAACAAATTTTCATCAATTTTCATCATGGAAAATCACGCTTTTTTACAATGGCAAACGACTCATCAATATAAAGCGTTGTAAGGGAATACTTTCCCATTCGAACTATTTTCAATAGCATTTGTCCTTCGCTCTAAATTCAACGCACTAAATGTCATCAAAATACGCCGCAAATTGTGGCCGATAGATCCTGTACAAGACCAACAGATGGACAGACAAGCTTAAATCGATTGAAAGTGATTTCGAATCGATCGGAATTTAAAAAAGGGGCTCCATCGAAAGTCTGTAAAGGCTTAATATACCCTTGTCACAGCAACGGCAATCGCTTGCAGCAACTAAAGCTTTTTTCAAAAACTTTTTTTCCTATACCGTTACAAACAGTAAAAATATACCAAAAATATTCTGAGAGTATCACTCAAAATCTAGTGAGCATTGTAAGCCTTTTAAGAAAGTTGACTTAAAAAGGTCGACTTTATTGAAACTGTTTTTTTTTTTTTTTTTTCTAGAAACATCTATCTTAAGTCCTTCTGGGTGTTACTTACTTCCGCAGAAGTTTATATATATACCTCGTACCACAAGTGTTACTTTTTTTTTGTTTTTGTTGTCTTCATAAAAAAACTCTTAGTGTTACCTTTCATTACGATTATCTCAGTACAGTGATTTTAAAGGTTTCCGAGATACCCGATTCATTCTGGAAGGAATGTTAAGAGATTTGATAGTTTAAGCGAGTCGAACATTTTGCAAAATATGTAAAAACTTTGCTTACATTTCGAGCGACTCTCGCAACGGGCAGGAATGCATGTTTTCCTTTAAAGAACGGAGGAAAATCGTTGGTTAATCACAACGAGTAGAAAAACTAATTAAATAAATAGAGCAAAGCGAGACAGGTTAAAACTGATTCAGTGTTACAAACAAGCCTTTTCCGTTTACACAATTATACACACGAACATATATACATTTATGTGCATACGTTCATAAGGATATTCATATGATACTTACCAATTTTAAAAAAACATTTTCGCGATTGTTATTTGCAGTTTTTGTAAGTTATTCCCTTTTATAAAAGAAAGTCCACATATACATACACATAAGCATAATAAATATATAATTTATATTTCTCACACCGAAAAATTTTTTGTTTATGTTTTTTTTTTTAAGTCACAAATTTATCCATTTTGCTATTTAACGCTTTGCAAAGTAAGCAAAGGATATCATCCTGTGAACTATTTCGTCGTTTTATATATTTATTGATTTTCGTTTTAATTCTTAATAACTAAAACCACCCTAAGGCATTTCGTAGGATTTTTTGTAAAATGAAAACATGTCGAAGACAAAATATATTATAGTTAAGGCGGTAAATGTATTTAAAGAATATTTTGTAAAAATTGAGACAATTTTCAAAAGGAACTTTAATTGTCAAAAGGGCTAAATTATTATTTCGAAGTAATTAATTCCTAGTTTTTGTTTCGAAAATTGTTTTGTATCCTTCATTTAGTTGCATGTATGTGCATGTGCCTGCTAAATTTTTCCAAGCTATTCGTCAAGTTCATCTCTTTTTCATTTTGCATATGATATTCGATTTGCAATAATATATATATAGATATTTAAAATTTTATATTTAAGCCAAGTTTATAAAGCTTTGATATACTTTATACACACACCGCAGTCACCGCACACACAGACTGCCATTTCATGCTTTAAAAAATTTGTTAAACAAACTCAATCATTTGAACCTTTTGACGTTAGTAATTATTTTTTATTCCCATTCTCTTAACAAACATTTCAAGCACTTTTACTGAGTATTCGCCGCGTTCTATTCATTTTAGCATTTATCATAACAAATAAAAAAAAAAAAAAAAAAAAAAATTTCTTCCGTTTACAACAAACTTTCCAACTTTTTGCTCCCAAAAATTCGTTGAAAATTAGAGGAATAATTACGGCTTCGATTTTTATATTTTTTTAGAATACATGTATTTTTTTGTTATTTCCTTGCTTCACTAAATACACCTCTAAAATTCTACCGCAACCGCTTTTACGACAACACACCAACAAATAACAATAAATAAATAAATAATATATTTTTTTTTAGACAAGCCCGATACAAAATTCACACATGAAATACAATTTCTCAGAGTAAAATTCACTTTGCTGTCTTTGCTATACATTTATTATGGATACCTCGCAGAAATGCAGAGAATAAAATTCATTTCTCAGAGTAAAATTTACTTTGCCGTCTGCTATACATTTTGCCTATAGTTTTACCTATAGTTAACGCCGTGCAAATGAAATGAAAAAAATGAATGATTGAGAGAAGATTTTTGTGAACTCTTACTTGGTAGCATTTATTTAACAATTGTCATTATAAAATGTTTGTTTTACTCTTAGGCATCTCTTTGACTAGTCTTTACTTTGCATTCATATTTATTGAGACACTAACTCATTAAGTTGAAATTGTTCTTACCAAATCCTCATATCATGTTATTGTTCATCTCTTATACACAAAAAACGTTTGTGCTCTGAGCCAATTAGTGATAAAATCTACATCATGTCTCTTTTTAAAAAACATTACAAATCTTAGACTTCTGCTAGAAATCTTCGCTAGAAATTTTTTAGATAATTGTCTTAACACTTTCCGCGGTACATCTGTAGGTCAAAATTTGCTTTTGGCATTTAACTAAAAAAATTTTATTTTTTTATTACAATTTTAGGCTAATGGAATAAATTCTTAGACTAAGAGAAAAGAGATATGGGTCACTAGCGCTATCGGCTCTAATTTATAAAAGTACATTAGATATTGAGTCTAGTAGTTTGAATAAAGTAATATATTCTATTAATATTCTTTACTAGGATTGACTATTAGCGATCATTAATTAAATTATTAAACTACGCCTCATATAAGTTTCTCTAATTTACCCATAGACAAATAATCATCGATGATTCGACCATAGCTTTAAAAACCATAATTATTCTCTTGGTACGATTTCTCTTATGTGAAAGTATTTGGTCGTTGTGTTTCTCTTTACATACTGCGATTTAGTTTTAATTTGTTTTGATACCGTTCCTTGTTCTTGTCTTTCTTTTCTCTCAAAGATATGGCTGCCGTTGTTTCGCAATTAAGTAATTTTAAAAGAGGGATAAACATTGAGGGATTACGACATTTACATTAACGTTAAATTTTTCCTTTTACCACGTATATAAAAGATAAACGTAATGTACGATGTAAATTTCAAATTGAACTCATTTTTTAGCATAAAGTTCTTATCAACACATTGGAACATTTGGGAACACAAGCCATTCTCACCTACTTATCATATGAAATACATGATTTTGGAGATTTAATAAACCAGTCTTATCAAAATTGAATGCTTTTCCTGCTTCACATAGTCTCCAATCCGTATTTGAATGCATTGTTTTCATAGCGAAATGTTTTATATTTTTGTAAGATAATACAAATTTGCTAAGAGTTAGTTCCAAAATCCAATCTTTCGCTCCATAATTAAAACACGGTATTTCTTTCGTGCGATATTTAGTCATGTATTATTAATATAATACATCCATTGAAATATGTTAACTTTTTTTTATTTAGTTTAATTATCGCTACACTTTCAACTTAAGAATATTTGAATTATTGTCCACTTTACATGAGAACCCTGAACCTTAAACTTTTGGATTTTATTTTTTGTTTTTTTTTATGTGGCCAATCATTCAGGGAACGTATTTTATTCGCATAATGCGATGACGATCAGAAACAAATGAGGAAAGAGAAAGACAAAAAGATATAGAGACATCATGGGTGCATGCCTAATCGGTAAGTATTATATTCCCTCACCGGCTGAGCCCTTAATCTACCTAAGACCGAAGTAAACTCGATTTCACTGAGATATGAACCCGGTAACACTCACTTGGTAGTCGCGATTCTTATCTGCTCGGCTACTTATGAGAATATTGTATTTCATAATTCCCAACTTTGAAATAGGGTTTCCTTTGAAGCTTGGCAATCCTTTCGCCATATCGTAATTTGAAATCGTACACCAGTTCGACAGTAATTTCTACCACCACCCCCACCAAACTATATAGAATTAGATAAAAGAAAAAAACACACGAAATCTGTGCAAAATATTTTGCCGTGAAGAAATTTTGGAAGAAATATTAAATCTCGAATGAAATAAAATTGAATGGCAATAAATTTTACGAAAATGGTAATGTCATAGTGAAATATAAAACCGAGGCTATCAAGGATTATGAAATGTTATTTACGCTAAAATTAAGCTGAAAAAATTGTTGGAAATTTTCGCATTCAATTCGATATCGGATGAAGAGGTAGTTGAAATGCGGGACGGACATTGACAGTGTTATAAATACCATAAACGATGTCGATTGTAATACTAACAGGAAGGATGTGGTTGTTAGTGAGAATTATTGATTTTTTTTTTACAATTAACAGAAAATTGAGAAAATTGCATTTTTAAAAATGAAGTTCAGAATTTAATAAAACAAAAATAAAACGCATGAAGTAATATTGATTTTTCTACATGTAACAATAATAACACAATGAAATAATCTCCTTCCTTCAAAGAGAAACGTTTGGCAAAAGTCTCCTAATGTTAAGAACAATGCAGTTCGGTTTACTACATATGTACGAAAAGTTTTATGTGTAACATATGTAACATATGTAGACAACAGACAACCACCTTGTTTATTTCAACAATGTGTAATAAGCCTACATTTCCTTAACTCTCAGCACCTTCCCAACGAAGACATTGTGCGGTAATTGCTGCAGCATCAACCTCAGCCGACAGCATTAGATTGAGGATTATAAGCTACTCAGCAACTACACAAACTGACATAGCAGGCACACAAGGCAGAAGGCGTACAAATTTAATTTTTTAGAGGCCAAGTGCACGACTAGTTTGATTCGAATTTGCTATAGTAGTTTGCACTTTACTTGCCAAAGGATTCTTTTTATTTATTTTTTTTTGACTACACACATGTTTATACGTTTGTATACAATAGTGGCCGTGTACCTCGAAAATTATCTATTCAAGGCAATTTCCTGTGAAACTTTAATTAATGCATGAGCTTGTAGTCATATTGATGTCAAATGTAAATCATTTTATCAATTTTGATTGAAAATTACGCTTCTGATTATCATGACTCATTTTAATTATATATGCATTTTAGTTATATGATTCTGCGGTAATGAAAGTGAAATAATAATTACACTATTACTAATAATAATTGATTGATAGATGAATAAATCATTATAGAATTCATACTTGAGTCATAAGTGCAATGAACAATTTAAAATACTATTCAGTGATTTCAAGTCATATCATCGTTATAATGACTTGTGTATAACTAAGTATTTGAATACTTAGTTATACTGTTATATGAATTGCCGTACTAATTCTAACCAGACATATAAGGTAAAGTGCATCAGCTTTAAGAATAGTCTTTATTCATGGTAGCTGCTCGAGATATGCCCGCTTTTGCTTTTAGAACAGCACTAGCGTTCGGATATCTCGAAGCTGCCGTTCCCTTTGTAATAACCCGTAAAGTGTATACGACGGGTATATATACATGTTTCGGGTATCCTAATGCCAAAAAAAAATTTTCGCTTTTTATATGCATCACCGAAGGATGGTATATTCATTTCGTCAAAATACTTCCCGAGCCGAACCGATATAAGCATGTTCGTGTGCCCATCTGTGAGTGTGCTTAATGTCTGGGATATATTTTACGATCACCTTGTTTTTTAAAAATGAAAAAAAATTTCTTTTATGCTCGTTACTTATAAACCACTACAGATAACGCGATAAAATTTTTGCATTTACATTCCAAAGGTGCTGCAGCAGCATCTTTACAAGAATCGAAAGGATCGCCCACGCCTATTTAATATTATAAAATAATAAAATTTCATTCTTTCATCAAAACGTATGCAGCACCCAGAAACAAGCATCAGAGATCATATAATTTCTATATAATATTGATCAATATCAAATCTGAATCGTTCTAAGAGCGATCAGTCAGTCCATCTGTCCAGCGGCTTCTTAAATTGCCTTTGGCAGCCGTACGGTGACAGGTTTAAAATATTCGATCGAGTACAAGTTTCTCGCTTGTTGACCATTTTTTATGTATATAAAAACGGAATTTACGAGCGATTTACGAGCGAATTTACTGACGCGTACTCTTCCACACGTTTAAAGCAAATCCATAGATGCTTTATTTTTCATTATGAATATATCAGTTGGCTGATTAACAAGTATTTATATCAAATGTTTCATTGATGTCGGTTGCAATTGATAATTTTCAGGCAGCAAATTTTTATTTCTTCCATTTCTTTCAAACCTGATCCAGCCATCTAACTATTTTCTATTTCTTACCATAAGATTTCTATAAGCAGACAGACAGATGGGCACGGCGTAAGGGATATATTTTAGGGGCGCCGCAAATTGAACGGAAGGAATATTATCATAATTTTACTCTCTATTGGTGGGTACAACAAATAAACTACGACCTATGTCCTCTACGATTTGTCGTATAGTTATAATCAAAATGAAAATTGCCGGCATTGACATGACGATGATTCCTCTGCAATTAATAATTAAATGAAAGTAACATCTTAACGATTCTTAAGGAAAAATTTACAGCAGAAATTTACTGCAGAAAAATGTTTATAAGATTTGTTGAAAAGATCGATCAACATTTTGCAGAAAAAAATGTATTAAAAAGAAAAAGTTCAGATATTTTTTCTAAAAATTGTTACTCGTTTCTCACGTATCACTACTATTTGTTCTATTTATCTACATTTCAGCTTTATCGAAACTAAAGTTGTCGCTTAGAATAGATCCTCACGGTGAAAGTGAATGGAATCCAATTTGAGTATGCCAATCTCTATGCGTTAATAGTAAGTTTAATCATCGATAGGATAGGTAGCCATAGAGGACGACATGACTATACACTAAAGTTTGGTTGCAATAATAGCAAATATTTGATCAGTTCAATCAACATTATTGCTCTATTCTTTGATGCTATAGAAAAACTCCAATAGCTAGACTCGAAGGAAACCGCGTAAAACTTTAATAAAATTCACAATAGCTAATCAAAACGGAATAATAATAAAAGAAAAGAGGTAAAGCATAATAGAATTCCGGAAAACGACACCGAGATGAATACATGTAGTGACGGCAGTACAAGTGAATTAAAAGCAGTTTGCAGCAACGCTAATAATGTAAATACTACAACAACACGCAGCAGTTATCCTGTAACGTCGTCACATCTGCCTACATCGTCATCAACGGTGATGGTGGCGGCAGTTGATAATTCTTGCATTCTCTCCAAATCAATATATCATGGTGCTGCGGTAATAAGTGCCAGTAGCGGTAATAAAACGTCAGCAAAAGATGCTGGTAATACTAGTACTAATAATGCAACAAACAGCGTAGTAGATTATGATAGCGGAGCCTCTGTAAGCAATGGGGTAGGTTTTAGTGCGGTAACAAACGATGGTGTTGGTGTAATAACTGTGGGTGGAATGGGTGCAGCAAATAAACCTCAAGAACGATATGTGTGGGAAATGCGCGCGCGCAGCCCGAACGTAACACCAGCAAGTACTGTACTCAATTCACCAGATCTCAATAACGATATGCAGTATTCTTTACATCCTCATCAAAGACAGATGCAACAAATACGAGTTGGCCGTAGTCCTGGTAGCCAGTTTGAACAGCATAACATACTGCCACAGGTAAGTGAAAATAAAATAAAAAAAAAAAACAATAATTAAAAATCGATTCATAAATTCGTATATATAAGGGCTTAGCTTCACCGGGTTCTCCTACCGATGTAGGCAAAGCTGATGGCCAATGTGTACGTGACGGTGAAATAGTTGTGTTTGATGATATTGATACCAACTGGATGAATAAGACAAACAGCAGTTACGCATCGAATCATAATAGTAGCATACGCGATGTTTTTCATGGCAATGAAGATGTTTTGAAAGTTACCAAAATGATTGGGCAATTGGCGATAGCAGAGTATGAGGGCTCGCCTAGACGTTTCGGTAATCAGCCACCAATAAAAGCGACATTTCCAAAAAGGCCACCTGGTTTTCCGCAACGTGTATCACCTCTGTCATCCATGTCGCCGCAACAGCAGCTACAACATCAAGAGCAACAAGAAGCTGCGCATGCACGGCACCAACAAATGCAACAGCAGCACCAATTTTATGCGCAAGCCACATGTGGTGGTGGTTTGGCTGTAGGGGGCAGTGCAGCCAATTTATCCAATTCTTCTATGCTTCTCAATCATAACACCGATAGTCATAAGTCCGTAGGTAATCTTATAGATATTGATGCAGATGACGGTGACGCGGGAAGTGGTGGTGCTTCGGCAACTCCAGTATCCTCCTATAATGAAACATTGCAATCGAAAGTGCGTTCGCCAACGTTCGATTATTTGTACGAGTTCTCAGAGACACGTAAAGTGTTAGAGGAATTTTTTAAAGCAAATGCCGATGATGAAAAACGCTTTACTGATTTCACCGAAAGTGCAGACGATTTAGGTAGCTGCGTAAGTAATTGCAGTACGGAGTATATTCGGAACAAAAGTATATTATTAATTATTAGCGCATTTTATAGGAGGCCCATAATGACTTCGAAATACAGCAGCAATTGCAAGATGATAGTAATAAACATATCGATAAGGCTTACATTGGTCAACGTTTAGCTAGAATACCAAAAGATGAATTATATATGGTGCACCGTTCACCTAAAAAACAACAGGTTAGTTAAGTTGCGCGTTATAATGCAAATACATTTCCCCGCCCAACCCCTCCCAAAATGCTTTAAGACAGAGATAGCCCGAAAGTATTGTTGATTAAGCCCATTTTAAATCGATCAAAATTTAATTCAAGGAAAATGATTTCGAATGAATTCGAGCTAAGTGAGATTTTCGGAAAGTTGTGGGCAAATCTTTTTTATTTCTGATACAAATTCCCACAAATCTGAATGAGTTATATTAACCAAAATTTTTTTTGAATTGTTTTATGTAATATAACAAATATATGTTAATATGACGTTTGTAGTTTTCAAACCCAACGAATGACACATAAAGTTCGAAAAGATAAAATTATTTTTAAGTGCTATTGGCTTAGTCCATCTCTGTTCAACATACCAAAAAAAAAAAAAAAAGTGCTAGTGTAGCATTTATATTCACGCATTTAATTCCTTTAAAGGCATTTGCGCGACGACATATGCGCGTCGCTACGAAAGTTGTCGATTAATAGAAAACGTATTATATTTATAGCCATAGCCATAGCTATCTATACTCATACTCAGTGAGGAGCAGAATAAATTTGAACTATTATTGCTAAATATTCTTTAAAGTTTCTACCTTTCAGAAGCAATCGCAACAGCAGCAGCATTTACAACAGCAACAGCAACAGCAACAGCAACAACAACAACAGATGTGTGATAACGTATATAATGATAGCAACGATATTGAATTGTATATTGACTCGAATAGTCGCAGTAGTGGAGACTTAGCTGACACTGAATTGGAAGCGAATTTGCGACGGCATTCGCGCAATTTCACTCTGTCGCCTGAGACGACGGATTACGATTCCAATTGCGGTGATTTAGATAGTTTGTCGAACGATATAAACTGTACAACAGACTTTGGAAAATTATATACCAGTATGCCGGTGCTAGAAGATGGCTTATCAAGTGGCCATGCTTCGGATACAGAAAACAATTGTCATAAATATGAGGCAAATGGTGACAGCAATGACGGATGTAATGATAATGCTAGTAATGAGAATGGCGGTGGTAGCGATATAGATACGTGTGGTATTGAGCTAGAAAAACAAGCAAATTATCAAAATAAACAACAAGAAATGTTTGAACAAAATAAATATAATAATAGTTTAATACAAGAATACTTGGATAGTAATTGCACGGCTAATGATGTAATTGCGAGCTTAATGGAAATAGGCGTTGATGATGAGACATTAAAAGCGCGTAAAATTCAACAACAAATGCATTGCAGTGATATAGCTCTTTCCGGGAAAGCAGCTTGTTGTAACACATCTTCATTTAATGACAGAAACGAATTGAATAATGGATCTAATTATGAGCCAATTTACGCTTCTATAGCAAAGCAAACACCACCACCGCCACCTGCTCCTCAACCTCACCGTCAAATGCGCTGTAAATTACCTGGACGAGCCGAATCTGTAGAGATTCAAGAAGCCATGAAAGAGATAAGATCGGCCTTGCACAGAGCTAAAACGCAACCGGAGAAGTTGAAGTTTTGTGATGAAGTACTACCGCCAGATCCTGAATCCCCCATTTGGGTGCCACGCAAAACACAAATGGAATTAAATTCTACTCCAACTAGTAATGTGAAAGCGTTAAATAATTGCGATGAAGAAGAACAAGATACGGACTTGGAAACAGATCGTTTGTTAGGACAACAAAGAACAGACGATCAAGATTTTTTCGAAGAAAAGGTAAATACCATTCTCTTATCCCTAATTCTCTCTCTCTCGCTTCTCATTTATTTTCAGTTTTATTATTAAGTTATAAATTTAATGTCATCTATGTTATTGATTTAATAGAACCTATGGCCGAAAACTTCACGCCTTAATTCAACTCTTAATTCAAACGAACAATCACCATCAACATCTGATGTTACAATGCTGACTTCCAATTCGTTAAGTTTGAAACCGCAATCATTTTCATCAGCCACCATACGTCAAGGCATCGGTACTTCTTTAACACCTAATACTCCCGATCATTACCAGGTTGTCGGCAATGCTGATGTGACCTTAACATCTCCCGAAAAATTGCAATACACCAAAAGCCCTACAGGTTCTATAAAATCATTAAAAGATTCTAGTAATCACGATACAAAATCAAAAACCCGTAATAAAGAAGGTAAGTAAGTATGATCGCGCTAGCAACCTCTCTTCCATATTTTTCATTCTTGTAATGTAAATTAACATACTCTCTTCATTGTACTTATGCGCATCTCTGTTGATATGAATGTGGATGCAATGACTCATTTAATGGGAAATATGTTTATGTTGTTGAAATGTAAGTTTTTTAATCAATTTTCATATAAAATAAATATCTTCTGTGTTTGTTTGGTTTTGCTTTTGGAGTTGGATTCATTTTTTGCCCGAATCATTTTTTGCCATACATTTCGCCTGTTGGGTCGGTTCGATGTAATAATAATAATAATAATAATAGGCATAATCGGCATAAAATCACTTATTCATTTTATGTAAAAATTTCATCACAAAATTTCTTTGCTTATCAAAATTATTCATAAATTTTGTACATATTTTTTCTTATAAGGTCTTTTGGATCCGTTAGTGTTGATCGAGGGCGTCTTGTTTCGGGCACGTTATTTAGGGTCCACTCAACTGGTGTGTGAAGGTCAACCTACAAAATCTACGCGTATGATGCAAGCCGAAGAAGCCGTATCACGCATTAAGGTAAGTATTCCAATTCAAAAAATTACATTTATTTGTAAATAAAAGCTAGAGAAGTCTGCTAATGAAAGAGATTATTAGAATTTGCTCTCTCTCTCTCTCTCTCTCTCTCTCTCTCTCTCTCCCTCTATATCTCTTTCGCTCTCTTTGAATTGAATACGAAATATTGTATGTAAATTTCCCCATTTTTTTTAACAAACGCTGCTTCCTTGCTAATCAATAAATGCTTGAATTGTAGGCTTTGGTAAGTCGTTAAGTCGTAAAGCTTAAAATAGGTCTATAAAGTCGGAAACAACATAATCTTAATAGATTTGCAAATAATAAAATTATGCTTTTCGGGATTTTGTTCTGCTTGCTTTTGTTTTCTTTAGGCGCCCGAGGGCGAAAATCAACCTTCAACCGAAGTCGATTTATTCATATCAACCGAAAAAATAATGGTTCTAAATACTGATTTAAAAGAAATTATGATGGATCACGCTTTGCGTACCATTTCCTACATTGCCGATATAGGCGATTTAGTAGTATTAATGGCACGCAGACGTTTTGTCCATTCAGAGAATTGTAATTCTGGTGCTGATACTGAGGCAACAAACACAGCCATAAATAATAACGCCAACGGTGGTAGTAATAAAGAAAAAGATCTTAAAGAGAATAATGCCAGTGGGTCGAGTAATAATAAACATAATCGCACGCCTAAAATGATATGTCACGTATTTGAGAGTGACGAAGCTCAATTTATAGCTCAATCCATTGGTCAAGCCTTTCAGGTGGCCTATATGGAATTCCTAAAAGCCAACGGTATTGAAAATGAAAATCTCGCCAAAGAGATGGATTATCAAGAGGTGCTTAATAGTCAAGAAATATTTGGGGATGAATTGGAGATATTCGCTAAAAAGGAGCTACAAAAAGAGGTGGTAGTGCCTAAAGCAAAAGGTGAAATATTAGGTGTCGTCATTGTAGAATCTGGTTGGGGTTCAATGTTACCAACAGTAGTAATAGCGAATCTAATGTCTGGTGGAGCGGCAGCCCGTTGCGGCCAATTGAATATCGGTGATCAATTGATAGCCATAAATGGTTTGAGTTTGGTTGGCCTTCCGCTGTCAACATGTCAGAATTACATACGAAATGCAAAAAATCAGACTGCTGTTAAATTTACTGTAGTGCCCTGTCCACCAGTGGTGGAGGTGAAAATATTACGTCCCAAGGCCCTCTTTCAATTGGGTTTCAGTGTACAAAACGGTGTGGTAAGTGTGAGCAAAATTAAAACGTTTATCCCATTTCTTCTCTTTACATTTATTTTTTTTATTCTCTATTTATTAAGATTTGTAGCCTTTTACGCGGTGGCATTGCTGAACGTGGCGGCGTTCGTGTCGGTCATCGTATCATTGAAATCAACAATCAAAGTGTGGTGGCTGTGCCACATGACACAATTGTTAAACTCCTATCATCGTCAGTGGGTGAGGTAAGTTTACTCAAACAAATCAAATTATTTTAATAAAATTTATTAAATTCTCTCTGTTTATTTACTTTTTATTTATTTATTTATTTATTTTTTTTTTTGTTTCATTAGATATTAATGAAGACAATGCCCACCTCCATGTTTCGTTTACTTACCGGTCAAGAAACACCAATTTATATATAAAGTGCTCCGGAAAATATATAAAAAAAAAAAAATAATAATAAATAAATAAAAGGAGAAAATTAATCTAAATAAGATTCAAAAAAAGAGCCGCAAGATAAGAATTATTCGAAAACTTTATACTTACCCCACACATACACACTTTCTAATCTATATGAAGAAAATTTCAATACTTTCACTGGCAGCAAATATAAATATTAAATAAAAGCTTAACGAAAATTTAGCTCATTATTATTCATATTATAGTAAAATTGGCTCAATAAGCTTATTTCGAAACCAAAACAAAAAAAAAAAAAAGCTTAAAAAACTCTCTTTATACAAATTGAAATTGAAATAAGTATATTTGATTACTGTTAAAGTATTGAAATTTTCTT